CATTTCTGTGTGGAATCTCAGAGTTCAGTCCACAGTAGTGGGAGTAGAATAGTGATTACCAGAGGCTGAGTCAAGGGTGGTCTCAGAAAAAGGGGAGATGTTGGTCAAAGGGTGTAAGGTTTTAGTTTGGCAGGATGAATAAGATCGGGAGAACTATTACACAGCAAGGTGATTATGGATAATAATATGTAATATACATTGCAAAATTGTTTTTAAAAAGTAGATTTTTTGGAGCTGGCATTGTGGTATAACAAGTTAAACCACTGCCTGCAATGCTGCCATCTCATGTGGGTGCCGGTTCAAGTCCCAGCTGCTCCACTTCTGATCCAGCTCCCTACTAATGCACCTGGGAAAATAGCAGAAGATGGCCCAAGTGTCTGGGCCTCTGCACCCAACTGGGAGACCCAGAAGAAGCTCCTGGCTCTTGGCTCCAGCCTGGCCCAGCCCTGGCCATTGTGGCCATTTGAGGAGTGAACCACTAGATGGAAGGTCTCTTTCTCTCCCTCTCTCTGTAACTCTGCCTTTCAAGTAAATAAAATAAATCTTTAAAGAAAAGTAGATGGTGCTGGTGCTGTGGCATAGTAGGGTAAGCCTCCACCTGCAGCGAGAGAATCCCTTATGGGTACGGGTTTGAATCCTGTCTGCTCCATTTCTGATTCAGCTACCTGTACTGATGGCCTGAAAAGCAGTAAAAGATGGCGCAAGTGCATGGCCTCCACACCCATATGGGAGACCCAGAGGAATCTCCTGGTCAGGGCTTTAGCCTGCTATGCCACAGCGCCAGCCCCATACTACTCTACTTCTGATCAGCTCCCTGCTAATGGCCTGGGGAAAAAAAGCTGTGGAAAATGGCACAAGTATTTAGGCCTCTGCCCACCCACATGGGAAACCCAGAAAAAGCTCCTGGCTCCTGACATCAGCCTGGCCCATTGGTTGCAGTAATCTGGGGAGTAAACCAGCAGACAGAAGATCCTCTCTTTCTCTCCACCACCTCTCTCTATAATTCTTTCAAAATAAATAAATAAATCTTTAAAAAGAAACTCAAATTCCCCTCACCTGATGAATAGGTAAATAAGCATGGAACAGCCATACAATGGAATCATACTATTGAAGAAATAAAAACAAGTGACTTAATGACACACATTACAACATGGATGAATCTCATCGGAATTTTGCTATGAGTAAAAAAGCCAGACTTAAAGGTTAGGCTTTGATTTATGTGCCGTTCTGGAAATGTTAAAACTATGCGGACAGCCGGCGCTGTGGCTCGCTTGGCTAATCCTCCGCCTGCGGCACCGGCACCCCGGGTTCTAGTCTCGGTTGGGGTGCCGGATTCTGTCCCGGCTGCTCCTCTTCCAGTCCAGCTCTCTGCTGTGGCCCAGGAAAGCAGTGGGCCGGGAAGTGCTTGGGCCCTGCACCCGCGTGGGAGACCACAAGGAAGCACCTGGCTCCTGGCTTCAGATCGGCGCAGCGCTGGCTGTAGTAGCCGTTTGGGGGGTGAACCAATGGAAGGAAGACTTGACCTTTCTCTCTCTCTCTCTCTCTCTCTCACTGTCTAAATCTGCCTGTCCAAAAAAAAAAAAAAAAAAAAAAAAAAAAAAAAACCTATATTGACAGAAAATGAGTTAGTTACTGCCAAGACTCTGCATTTGTCAAAACACAGAACTGCACCCATTCTTATAAAAACTCTGGAAACAAATGAAAAAAAAATCCCCAAAAGCAATCAAACTCCTGATTCTGAATAAATAGTAAAAAGTAATTTACTGGGCCTACCACAGAGGTGTAGTAGGTTAAGCATCCACTTGCAGAGCCAGCATCCCATATGGATGCTGGTTCGAGTCCCAGTTGCTCCACGTCTGATCCAGCTCTCTGCTGTTGACTAGGAAAAATGGTAGAAGATGGACCAAGTCCTTGGGCCCCTGCATCCACATGGGAAACCTGGAGGGTACTCCAGGCTCCTGGCTTCAGGTGGGCCCAGCTCCAGCAGTTGCAGCCATTTGGGGAGTGAACCAGAGGATGGAAGACCTCTCTCTGTCTCTCCTTCTCTCTGTCTGTAACTATGTCTCTCAAGTAAATAAATAAATATTTTTTTACAAAGTAATGTGCTGGCCGGCGCCGCGGCTCACTAGGCTAATCCTCCGCCTTGCGGCGCCAGCACACCGGGTTCTAGTCCCGGTCGGGGCACCGGATTCTGTCCCGGTTGCCCCTCTTCCAGGCCAGCTCTCTGCTGTGGCCAGGGAGTGCAGTGGAGGATGGCCCAAGTCCTTGGGTCCTGCACCCCATGGGAGACCAGGAGAAGCACCTGGCTCCTGCCATCGGATCAGCACGGTGCGCCGGCCGCAGTGCGCCGGCCACAGCGGCCATTGGAGGGTGAACCAACGGCAAAAGGAAGACCTTTCTCTCTGTCTCTCTCTCTCTCTCTCTCTCACTGTCCACTCTGCCTGTCAAAAAATTAAAAAAAAAATTCGGCCGGCGCCGCGGCTCACTAGGCTAATCCTCCGCCTAGCGGCGCCGGCACACCGGGTTCTAGTCCCGGTCGGGGCGCCGGATTCTGTCCTGGTTGCCCCTCTTCCAGGCCAGCCCTCTGCTGTGGCCAGGGAGTGCAGTGGAGGATGGCCCGGGTGCTTGGGCCCTGCACCCCATGGGAGACCAGGAAAAGCACCTGGCTCCTGGCTCCTGCCATCGGATCAGCGCAGTGCGCCGGCCGCAGCGCTCTGGCCGCGGCGGCCATTGGAGGGTGAACCAACGGCAAAAGGAAGACCTTTCCCTCTGTCTCTCTCTCACTGTCCACTCTGCCTGTCAAAAAAAAAAAAAAAAGAAAGAAAAAAATTTAAAAAAAAAATTTAAAACAACAGGGAAGAAGTGTATTTAAAGTTAATTTATTGCGTCATCCAAACAAAAATCAAAAACATGCCTTGCTTTACACTTGAGCAACCGAGAGACTTTAGTCTATTTTATATACCCAATATCTCATAAATAAGAAAGAGACTCACTAGAAATTACAGTGTCCCTTGTTGACAGCATGAGCCAATGCATGCTCTCATTAGATCAGTCTAGATTGAAAGTCTATGAAAATTCCTTTCCTAGAACAAGGAAAAACAATGTCATTTCAGGACAGAGTTACTCTTGATAAAAGGAAGGGTTGTGTTCAGCGAGAGGACTGCCTATGGTCAGGTGATTTCTTGCCAATGTTTTTGGAGATTATGTACTTCTGAACTCTCCAGGTTTTCTGGTAGCTCAGTCTACTGCTGCCTCCTCTTTTTATGCTTGCCCTCATTGCTGTCCACATTCTGACAAAAAGGAGGCACAGTGAAACCAAAAGTCAGTGCAACCTGAGGCAAATGTAAGTTACTAACATTAAAGATGTTTCAGATGATGGGAGTCATAAGATCATATGTAAGACTTGTATGCTTCCTGGGTTGACGTATGAACAATGTAAGTTTTTTTTTTTTAAAGTCAGAAATTTTAGACCACGAAATGTCTGTCAAATTTACTTAATGGAACCTTGGACTGCTTGAAGTAGTGATGGAAACCCAGTCCTTCTCAGTAAAAATAGGCAAGGCTTGCCCTCGCCTGTATAGGCCCCTGGCTGTTCTCCTACACAACGTATATATTCCTTAGGGCATCTGGAAGGTCATACTGAACAGTCTAGTCAACTTCAGGATAATCCAGCCCTCTCGCTGCCACATTTGTACACAGGAATATCCCTGAGTTTGCACTGCAAACTGGAAGAATGTGGTCATTTGTTTATTTTGCTTCTGGTTTACATTATTATCTAAGACACACAAGTCAATGTAATTCAGCAGCTCAAATTTGTATTTAATGGACTAATAGGGTGAAAAGACAATCATCCATTTCTTCTTTCCATTCTTTCCAGGGAATGTAAAGAGCTGAAGAAATGCCTTTTCTGAAGGACAAACAGCATATCCCTGCTCAAGACCATCCACTGTTGTATTGTCTTTATCATCATTAACATCAGCACACAGCTTTTTTTTTTTTTTTTTTTTTTGGATAGGCAGAGTGGACAGTGGAGAGAGTCAGAGAGAAAGGTCTTCCTTTGCCATTGGTTCACCCTCCAATGGCCACGGCCAGCGCGCTGTGGCCGGCGCACCATACTGATCCAAAGGCAGGAGCCAGGTGCTTATCCTGGTCTCCCATGGGGTGCAGGGTACAAGCACTTGGGCCATCCACCACTGCACTGCCTGGCCACAGCAGAGAGCTGGCCTGGAAGAGGGGCAACCGGGACAGAATCCGGCCCCCCAACCGGGACTAGAACCTGGTGTGCCGGCGCCGCAAGGCAGAGGATTAGCCTATTGAGCCACGGCGCCGGCTAACATCAGCATACAGCACTTTTTCAGAGAAATCCTTCCTAGGTCTTCAACTGTTTGAGCTTGTGTGGTGGAAAAGAGCATGGTTTGTCTGCATGATGGCAAGTCTAATAATTTCTTTTGATTCCTCTTCAAACCAACACCCAAGATGAGCCTCCTCAATAACCAGACACTGCAGGCTTTTATACATAAAACTGGAGTATTCTGCATATGGTCCAGGAGCCAACCTGAAGTGACTACAATGATGTTGATCCCATTGGCGAGTTTTTTCACTTCAACAGATCTGTTACTGCCACCCAGTGTGTGTGTGTGTGTGTGTGTGTGTGTGTGTGTGGTGAGTTGCTATCTCCTTAAGAATACCAAATGATTGCTTGGCCAGTTCTCTAGAAGGTGACAGAATAAGGACTCCTGTTCCATTCTCACCATGAACTTTAACTTAATAAGTTGAACTGCAGGGAGGAGAAACACTGGGTTTTTGCCACTGCCTGGTTTTTGCAGCTGCTAGATCTCTGCCTTCCAGAATTACCTGACATCTTTATGTTGATTTTTAGTCATGATTATAAAGCCCATTTCTGTTATTGCCTTCAGAGTGTTTTCATTGATAAGAAGAGTTAGAGAAGTAAAGGAAGTATCCTCAATAGCTGACAGTCCCAGGGGCAGGGTAGGACCTACCTTGTTGCCATCCTCAATGTCTGGTGTCTCCACACTCTTTTTGCTCTCTGTAGGAACCTCTCTGCCTTCTTCAATTCCTGCTTTTCTTCTATCAGGCCCAGCATAACTGACCACTCTTCTCTCTGAATCAGGATCGGGAGACCCTGTTGCTGCTTTTCCATTGGTTAATATGGCAGATTTCAGAGGGGCATAGCTTTTTTTAACTTCTACTTTTCTCCTTTTTCTTTAGTCATGGCTCCATTTTGGGATCCTGACAAGCCCACATTCACAAATTATTGTAGGGAGTTCTTAAGTTCTCCACCTGCTTCTTCAGGTCTCCTCACCTCTGGGTTGAGTTCCAACAGGCTCACAGCGGAGGCCTCCTGGAGCTCAGGTTTCACTGCTACTTCTCGATCTTCATGTGCAGGAGTTTCATCAGCAGGTGAGACATGTTGTCAGAGATGCACCTCTCCTTTCAAATATGCCTGTGTACAAACAATTACCTTATGAGACAAGAACATCATCTTAAAAAAGTGATATGTTAAGACACGTGACACAATTATAAAAAGTGTCACCTTTAATTCAGTAGGCAGGTCAACCTGTTGCATCACCACACTGGCCCCACCACCATCAATTCTACTCAATAAATCAAACAAATTTCACTCTACTGATTTTATTTCATCTTTGTCATACACTCTTGTGTTATTTGGATCCTCTCATGGACTTTCTATTATTTTCTTGATCAGTATATTGATGAGGCTCTTCATTTCTGTGTTATTGATTGTAGTTTTATTCTTTAAAAAATATGTACTTTAGTTGTAGGAGAGATGGTGGTGGGGAGAGAGAAAGCCTCCCACATACTGATTCTCTCTCCAAATTCCCACAATGGTAGAGACTGGGCCTGGCTGAAGTCAGGAGCACAGAACTCAATTCATGTGGATGGCAGGGACTCAACTACTTGAGCCATCATTTGCAGTCTCCCAGGTGCACATTATAACAGAGGTTGAACTGAGAGACAGACCAAGACGCAAACCCAGTCCTTGCAACATGAAATGTGAGTGTTCCAAGTGGTGGTTGTATTTTTATGGTGCTGAGTCTCTGGGATAGTTATTATCGCTGTTTCCCCCCAGTTGCCAGTGAGATGCGAGCAGAACTGGTATGTGTTGTTTCCATGCTGAGCTTGTCATTGGTTTGAGACCCTCTAGAATGTCCTTTTCTTCTGGTATGATAGCCTGTGATATCTTTCTGCTTAGCCTTGTCCCTGTGAGAGAATACAGTGAAGCTCCCTCCCTGCAAGGCAGTGATGGATTAGTTGCAATGATCACTAAGTAAGCTTTAGGATTTTGGTGTCTTTTGTTGAAACAGTAAAGCAGAACTCAACTAATACGGTCTTCCTACCCAAGAATGTAGTAATCTGTCTTTTTCTTCAGCCTTTGGGCGGGGGGGGCAGGAGCATTTTAAAGTTTTCATCCAGCCTCTTGCGTATTCTTTCATGAGTACCTTCTGGTATTTAATGAGTATTTCATGGGTATTTCCTGGTAATACCACAAATGAAGTCTTCTTATATGATACTTGAACTGTTTATTTAAATATTTCAATTATGCGTGTAGCCACCTTACTGTATGCAAACACGTTAAAGGCTTTCAGTTTATTTTCTTGAGTTGTTGAGATGTGTTATCTCAGCTACAAATAACATTTATTGCATCTAGATTTTCCAATTTTTAAACATCCAATCTGTGTCTCTTGCCCGTGAATTGGTTAGTACCTCTAGAACTTTGTTCATAGTAGTGGTGACATGGAAGCAAACATTCAGTGCAGCAGTTGAGATACCTCTTGGGATACTCACATTCCATATCAGAGTGTCTGGATTTGAGTCCTTGTTTGCTCCTGATTCCAGCTTCCTGCTAATAGGCACCCTGGGAAGCAGTAAGTAACAGCCCAAGTAGTTGGGGTTCCAGCCACTCACATGGGAGACCTGGTATGAGTTCCCACCTCCTGGTGTAGGCCTTGCTCAGGCCCAGCTGTTGTAGGCAGTGAGATATCTGTATCTCTCTCCCTTCCAAATAATTAAATGGATGACATCATCTTACCTCAAAGAATTGTAGAGAATTAAATAAGGTGTTTGCAGTTCTAACAATGTAAATTATTATAAATGGAAAGCACATAAGAAAACATTTCTTAGGAATTAGGTCAAATTATTAATATAAATGACATTGGCTAAGAGAGTGAGAACAAATGTAAGGAGGATGAATAGCCTTGTTTCTAGATGAGGATTTGTAAACAATGAGATATGCCCTGTGGTCACTAGTGAATTATTAATATTATTAAAACATAACTTTTCAAGATCTTGGGAAGAGAAAGGGGGTACCAGCATCTTGATTTCCTCCCCCCGAAACTGAGTTATTATTCAAGGTTTGTCTACGGGGAGTGGGGGGGATTGAGATTTCTTCTCCCTTTGAGAAGCTGATACCTGTGTTGTTTGGGGTAATTGAGTACTAAGAGGAAGTGGTGAGGTTCTAGGCTTTCTTAGCATATGAAGGGACCCGGCATCATTGTAAGGTGTTGGGGATATTGGAGTAATGTGACTGGTGAGCTAGGACTCATTTCTAACCTTGTGATTCTCCAAAAGTGTCAGAGACCTCGGATACTTGGGTGTTCTTAGTAATAAGAGGAGCATGAGTTGTCTTGAAGTCTGAAGTAATAGATTGGACTTATGATGGTTGGTCTTTCAAAGACATGAACGTCTATCTTTTCTTCCTGGTGGAATAGGGCACACCTTTCTGAGGCTTCCCAGGGGTGGAGGGATTCCACAACACAGGCAGATGTCCAGAGGTGGGAGGGATCCCCAAGGGGGCAACTTGCCCAGGGAGAGCTGACGGGGTCACAGGCTGTCCGATGGCAGAAGGGGCCTGACAGGGCGAGATTGCTCAGTGGGAACAGGAGGCTGGAGTGCCTGAGGCTGCCCAGACAAGAGCCCTCCAGGGATCAACGAGGCCCTGGGTGCAAAGGATTGCCCAGAAGACACAGGAGCCCAGAGACTGGGAGTCTTTTGAGTGATGGGCAGGACTCCAGATTTAAGAGGCCACCTGGGTGTGAGAGGGGCCTTCAGTCCTGGAGTTGGCCAGGGAGTTGGAGGACCCTTAGACGGCTCAGCACTAAGAGTGTGGTGCTTTCCCAGGGGCTGTGGGTAAACGGGAAGGACCCCATGGGCTGAGGACTGGGTCGGGGTGGGAGGGGTACTTGGCAGGGACTGCACAGTGTCAGGAAAAATCTCTGGGATCCTATGGAATTTTTCCTGTGGTGTAACTGGGATTCATCCAATGTCAAGGAAGTTTGGGTCTCTATTATGTACTCATCAGATGTTTTCTCCTTCTTTAAAATGGGCCTTTTCTTTAACAAAGGTTGAGTTTTTAATTTTCTGGGATGCTCCCAAGTAGTAACTGTTCCACTTTTGCTGTCCTGGCTCTTTGTTCCAGATGGCAAATGCTGGCTTTTTAATTCTATGAGTGAGTTTAGTTTCACTTCATAAAATGGTTTCATTTCTTTTCTGTTGTTTTCCGTGACTTGTATTTTAGTGTCATAACTGTTGACCTCTGGCATACTCTGTCCACTTTTAGGCTCACTTAAATTTGATCCAGAGGGCTCTTTGTCATGTGGATCTTTTGTGTACTGTCCCTTAGGACTAGTCCTATTTGGAATTCTGTCATATTTCTGCAAGTATATTTCGTCTTCAATAGTATCTTCAAAAGGCACAGAAAACCTTTTTTTGTTTTTCTTCAGTAGAGAACATTGTTTAGATAAATCTGGGGTTATCTCAACTGGGGCTATATATGGAAAAGCAGAGTCCCCATTTATCCCAGAGGCTTGAAGCTCATTTAATTTGGACTTATAGCTGATATGTTCAAATTCTTTGACTAAAATACTGTTGTCTGTGACACCAGCTCTGGTCGTGGTCATGGATGTGGGCAGTGACATATTTGTACTGAATCAGTTTGTAGTTTCCATCTGCCTCTGCGAGTTTTCATTGCAGCATCTCATTTGTTTGCTGAGGTCTTTTTTTTTTTTTTTGTAAATTTATTTTTTTTTTATTTTTTTTATTTTTGACAGGCAGAGTGGACAGTGAGAGAGAGAGACAGAGAGAGAAAGGTCTTCCTTTGCCGTTGGTTCACCCTCCAATGGCCGCCGCTGCAGCCGGTGCACCGCGCTGATCCGATGGCAGGAGCCAGGATCCAGGTGCTTTTCCTGGTCTCCCATGGGGTGCAGGGCCCAAGCACCTGGGCCATCCTCCACTGCACTCCCGGGCCACAGCAGAGAGCTGGCCTGGAAGAGGGGCAACCGGGACAGAATCCGGCGCCCCGACCGGGACTAGAACCCGGTGTGCCGGCGCCGCAAGGTGGAGGATTAGCCTATTGAGCCACGGCGCCGGCCTGCTGAGGTCTTTAATCATCCTTTGGGAGAGCTCTCTTTCAGTTTGATATCTCTCTATAAACATACTGTTCCCTGGGGTGTTAGCAACTTTTGATTCATCACTTAGGGCACCCAAGGCTTTAGAAAGATTTGATACCATTGATGATACATATTTAATAGCACTCTTTTCCAATTTATTGAACACTCCAGTGCTTGTGCATTCCTGTAGTATGTATTGAATTTCTGAAACCTTTGTTTTTGTTGTAAATGAATCAGCAATCACCTGTTCTGGTTATAAAGCATCACTGTTGCAGGTCGCTTTGTAATTCTTTCTTTCCAGGTTTTCTTACAGCATCTCTACATATTGGGTAAAAACACATAAAACAGAGATTGCATTTCTTCTTTTGTGCTATTCTCTATGTTTAAGCCTAAAGAATTTAGACTAAATTAACACATAACTGTCAGTTGAATGTTGATCAGATTAAGCCACCACTTGTGACTTGGCAGCCCAATGCAGAGTGCTGTTTTGAGTCCCAGATGCCCTGCTTCTGATCAAGCCCCTTGCCAATGTAATGGGACTATAGCAGAGAATGTCCCAAGGTCTTGGATCCCTGTCATCCACATGGAAATCCCAGATAGAGTTTCAGGTTCCTGGCTTTGGCCCAACCCAGCCCTGTCCTTTGTGGCCATTTGGGGAGTGAACCAGTGGGTATAAGATATTTCTCTTCTTCTGTGTCTTTCTTCTTCTGTC